ATGCTCGATAGGGTGACAGATTCGGTGGCGAAAGTGCAATGGTTCGGAGAGCCATAACCTCCACACGGAGATCAGACTTGGTGGTGGTGGTGGTGGTGGTTCAAAGGAATCTGACAGCAAATCGGTACGTCGACAATTATTCAGCTTCACCATCTACCGATCATCAACAGACAGAGGGAGTTGCTTTAACGTGACAACGACACACCACACTGCCAGCGTCAATGTTTACTTTATAATTCAAACGCCACAGTCTTGCCATGGCCGTCCAGATCTCCGGATCTGAACCCTAAAGAGCATCAGTGGGATGAACTCGATAGACGTTTACGTCAACGTCAACGTGCGCCTCAGATACTTACACAACTTGCCGACGCGTTGCAGGAAGAATGGAAGAGAACTCCACAGGACAGACCCCGTAGACTTACTCAGTATGTGCGCACTGTGGTCACAGGCCCCTTTCCGTCACCTCCATGAAGCCATTCGGTTTGTCCCGAATTGACACGAGTGGTCACGAATGCCTCGGATGACACTGGAATGTATGCTCACAAAATTGTTACAAGCTGACGCTTTTATATTTTACGGACTCTTCACAACAGTCATGTCTCAGGTTGGGCGTCTGTCACGTCACGCCAGCATTGTTATATGGCATTGCGATGTATTCTTGTAATTGTATTACATCAATATTGTTTTTGTTAAAGATTCAGTAGACGTTCATGACATTGTTTTAATAGGCATTAGTTGTCAGGAAAGCATTACTATCAAATGTAAGCAGCGATGTGGAAACTACTATATTTAGAATTTTTGGAGTCAAGTGACATCTGGAATCTTCTAGGACAGCTATAGACTAATCAAGCTTGGTATGGAACTTTCTAGAAGGTATCTAGACGATATAAGTGGACAAGGGCGTGCCTCTCTCGTCTCACATTACATCAAGACCAGCGGTTGTAAAAATCGTGTTTTCACCCTTGATATTCAGCCGAGGCCTGTTTTGGAAGCTTGACCACTGTTGTTGCAAGGTGAATATTATTATCACCGATTTTGTTGCTATAACCACTGCCATTGTAATTAGTACTGCCATTGTAATTGTTCTGCCACTCTACTGTGTTCTGCCATTGATTTACTTTGCTGTAATTTGTATTGATTTGTAAACCTAGCTAAATATATGATACTATTGTTAATTGTAAAACATTCCTTTGTTGTGTGTTGTTTCTGAATTCTTTTACGTTCTGGGTTAACAAATTGTTTCACATTGGCGGTCGACAATTTACACCATGTCGACATTTACACTCGCAGAACACGCACAGAGAGCTTGTCTTGTACTCATTTAGTTAGCAGGGTGCTGTCTGATTCCTCACGCGTAACGAGTGAATGAAGGAGCATGGTTTTACGGAATATTCAAGCGATGTCACGGCAAGGGACACCAGCAATGGGCGTGACACATACCCATGTCGGGATTCGAACTCGGTCTTCGGCGTGACGAGCGAACGCTTTAACCACAATGCTACCATACCGCCCCACACATTGCACGAGTGTGTTTTTGTATATAGGAAGAATCAAGAACCCAATACGCATTGTGTTGAGTTGAGGTGAAATGACTTTTAATGTCGCGTTCAAGATTATTGGACTTATATAGCGATGTGCATGCACGCGCGTGTGGGGGCTGCTTGTACTAGTCAGTTTAAGACACAGTATACTGACTCCGAGCCGACCCGTCCTTGTTTTAACCCCTAAATGTCGAGCGCCAGACATGATAACAACAAGTACCATCTTTTAACCTCTTTTGATATGACGACCCGGGGATCGAACCACGGGCCTTTCGCTCTCCGGGTGGACGCTCTACCAGTATACCATGGTGGCGATCGAAAATGGTTCCCGAGGCAAGGGAGTTAACTGACTCGGATCGAACCCCCAAGCTTCCCATTTCCGGGCCACACCACCACACAACACACCCCAACACCATCACAACATCACACCACCACACAACCACACCATCACACCACCACACCATCACATCATCACACCACCACACCATCACATCATCACACCACCTGACCATCACACTACCACACCATCACATCATCACACCATCACATCATCACACCACCACACACCACAACACAACACCATCACACCACACCATCACACCACCACACCACATCATCACACCATCACATCATCACATCATCACACCACCACACCACCACACCAAAGCATCACCACACCATCACACCACCACACAACCACACCATCACACCACCACACCATCACATCATCACACCACCACACCACACCATCATATCATCACATCATCACACCACCACACCAAAGCATCACCACACCATCACACCACCACAACATCACATCATCACACCATTACACATCACACCACCACACCACCACACCATCACATCATGACCGCCTCCGTGGTCAAGTGGTAGAGCGTCCGCCCGGAAAGCGGTTGGTCCGGGGTTCGATCCCCAGCCGCGTCATACCAAAAGACGTTAAAAGATGGTTCTTGTTGTTAACCTGTCTGGTGCTCGGCATTTAGGGGCTAAAACAAGGACTGGTCCGCTCGGAGTCCGTACTGTATTACACCACCACACCACCACATCACTAATACACCACACCACCACTACATCACACATCACACCACCACGCCATCACACCACCACACCATCACACCACCACAGCACCACATCATAACACCACCACAGCACCACATCATCACACAACAACTACACCACACCGCCACTACACCGCCACTACACCACTACATTACTACACCACACCACCACTACACCACTACAGCATACCACCGCTACACCACACCACACCATACCACACCACACCACACCACACCACACCACACCACACCACACCACACCACACCACACCACACCGCCACTACACCACTACACTATACCACCGCTACACCACACCACCACTACGCCACACCACACCACCACCACTAAACCACTACACCACTACACCGCGACTACACCACTACATTACTACACCACGTCACCACTACACCACAACTACATACCACCGCTACACCACACCAGCACTACACCACACCACACCACAACCACTACACAACTACACCACCGCTACACCACCACACCTCTACACCACTACACCGCTACACCACCACTACACCACAGCTACACCACCACTTCACCACCGCTACACCACACCACCACTACATCACACCACCACCACACCGCTACACCACACCACCACACCACCACTACACCACACCACATCCCGACCCCACCACCACACCACCACTACAACACTACACCAACTACACCACACCACCACTACACCATACCACCAACACACCACCACACCACCACTACACCACCACTACACAATATCACCGCTGCACCACATCCCCACCACACCACCACCAACACACCACCACTACACCACACCACACCACACCACCACTACACCACCACTACACCACACCACCACTACACCATATCACCGCTACACCACACCACCACCAATACACCACTACACCACCACTACACCATATCACCACTACACCACACCACCACCACCACACCACCACCACCACTACACCTTTTCACCGCTGCACAACACCACCACTACACCTTTTCACCGCTACACAACACCACCACTACACCTTATCACCGCTACACAACACCACCACTACACCACACCAACACACCAACACTACACCACCACTACACCACACCATCACACCACCGCTACACCATATCACCGCTACACCACCACCACTACACCACCACTACACCATATCACCACTACACCACACCACAACCACCACTGCACCACCATTACACCACATCCCCACCACACCACCACTACACCATATCACCGCTACACCAAACCACCACTACACCACACCACCACTACACCACTACACCACCATACCACCACTACACCACCGCTACATCGCCACAGCACACCACCACCACCACTACACCATATCACCGCTACACCACACCACCACACCACCACTACACCACCACTACACCACACCACCAAGACACCACCATACCACCACTACACCACCGCTACATCGCCACAGCACACCACCACCACCCCCACCACTACACCATTACACCACTAGACCACACCAACACTACACCAACACTACACCACCACTTCACCAAACCGCCATTCTACCAACACACCACCACTACACCACACCACGGGACAGTGGGTTATCATTAAATCAATAACAACTGAAGCAAAGAGAGGCGGTAGTTTTCAACACCATTTTAATTGTGTTTCGTGATATGATGATAATAACATTTCATTTTCTCACAAGTATAACCAGTCGATTGCCGCTGAAAAGCAATCATTAACGAGAGTTGCAGTAGATCTCAGAAATATCTGGTCGTTCGGACAGCATCACTTTCAAAGATAAGAGTTATTTATTAAATAAATAATAATCCACACTTGTGGATGAAATTGACTGCCTGATACAGGTGTTTGAACATGAGCCTTGACACGCCTACAGTAACAACAACAACATACATACAGCAGTACAGTAACAACAATATACGTACAGAGGATGTAACACAACAACAATCACAAAAACAACAATAAATGTAGGCCGGTGGCACTAACAGCACTAAGGACAAAAGTAGAAGCTCAATATGCACCCGTATACACATATATCCATTGCACGGAATTCAAAAGTCTAATTTCTTTGGGTACTAGTAATCATCATAAAACACCAGCTGACCTAAGCCCGATCCCGGTCTTCTGTTGTAACAATATAAACTGACGAAACGAAATTAGCGAACTGACAGAAGGCCCAAGATCAGCATTGGTCTTACACAAAGACCCGGATGTTCCAAATGCTCCTTTTATGTCTTATGTTGTGAACCAAGGTGAGGGTAGAACACCCACACACGGGGTACCCCACCCCACCCCACCCCACCCTACCGCACCCCACCCCACCCCAACCACACCCCTCTCCCAAAACCCCACACCCACCCTTCCGTTATATCGCCGATCCCCTTTTCTTTATCAAGTCTATCGTGACAAAGAGTGTCAAAAGAGGTGACGAAAGGGGTGACCATAGGACCATAGGGGTGACGAAAGAGGTGACGAAAGAACACAGACACGTACACAAATACTACTCCTTAACATACCAACCCTAAAACATTTGTGGTTATTCGTCGCATTAGGTATTACGTAGTCTACTGCTGTTTCCCAGAAACTAGCCCGTTAATTCCGACCTCAGTAGATCTCCGGGAAGAAACGTCCATGCAGTGAGAAGGGGATGACAGTTGGGAGGTCTGCTCTATTGGTCAACTCCATCGTACGAGCATCCAGCACGGCCAGGTAGGTCGTCCTCCGCACGCCATCCAGGATGGGTAGCATCAGAACACCATCATCCTCCGCCTTGCCCCGGGGGTTAGGCACGAACCACGCCTCCGAGGGGTAGTGGTATGGGACGTACCACACCTTGTCCCCATTCTGTTTACATAGGTCTTTCTTGACCAGAGCAATTTTACTGAGTGTCACGTTGTCTTTCTTCAACACGATTCCGTAAGCGTAACAATACGGCCGAGCTCGGTAGTTTTCGTTGATTGCCGGCATGTCGATGTTTGGCGTGTAGGGGGCGTAGGCTGGTCCTTTAAATGTCTCAACTCTCACTTTTTTTGTGGCTAGGGATATGTGGTAGCGTTTAATTTGAGCAAGTGCGTCAAACTGGTTTCGTTTGATTGGATCTGTCAAAACCTTCATTTCTAAATTCTTGACGAAATCGGGGCTTGTGTAGGCAGACACGTCCAATATTATACCTGTGTCGCTCGTCTCGAAGGCATTTATATGATGCATGGCAAAGACATTGCCTGTTGTCAAGGAGGTTACTTTGCCTGTTTTCAACTCTACCACATACACAGTTGTCGGCCGATTGGGATACCAATCCAGACAATCGAAAGGCTCGGCTTTGAGCACCATTTTCTTAACGTTCACATAGAAGGGGCTCGCAAACAAAATGGCGTAGTTCTCTGTCACGGAGAAGGAATGCATGTACGGCACACGATCAACGTTCCATCTAGAGATGGTTACTCGCTTTGTAGGGGAGACAATTCTTATTAGACTGATGGCACTACTGGTCCATGGCAATACGCTGACACTCGACAAGAACGTAATGTGATGACCGGTTCCTGGTTCCGGAAGTGGGTGTGCAGACGACAATAAATTGAGAAAACCTAACAACCCGAACCCGCTAGAAGAAGTAGATACGTGTGCCGACACGGCACCGCCCGTAGATAGGTCACGTGGGTAGAAGACGTAATACTTCCAGAAGTCGCTGAGAGCCACGTATTCCGTCAGATTCCGTTTATTGTCGGTGAAGGCGTAAATGTTGACGTTCATGTTATCGATGCCTCGTACCAGTGCCTGCAACATACATGTAACGTGTATATAGATAATATTTTAATATGGAGCTGGCCTATTCAAAGCATGGGGTATGGATTGCCTCATATTCCCGAGGCAAGAGAGTTAACTGACCATAAAAGTCCAGTTTCCACCCTTGCCGAACTAGGCTGTAATTCCTGGACTCGATCGTAGCGCCACCAGTGGCTATTACGAGTCATGTCCCTACTGAGCCTCTCCTATGGACCAATCACATTCCACCTCTCGTATCACTTGCAGTTGTATCAAACAAAATGGCAGCGCCCAGTCAGGACGATCTGATCGATAATGAAGTTCTGTAGTGTGATAAAACGGGTCTTACATCGCGAACTGTATTAAATTTCGTGAGCGCCTTGCTTAAAAACATGAAAAGATTTGGAAAATATTTGTTGACAACGAGTTGGCGGTGTACATGCTTCGACCGAAATCTACACAACAGTTTACTGACCGGATTTCGATTTCGTTGCACGAGTTTGATTGTACTGTGCATAGACTCGTTAGTTAGTTCCAAGATGTTCCAAGATGTTGGAAATGATAAACTATTTATCTTCATGCTTAAGGAAAGATTAGTTGATATATTTTCACAAGATTGGCACTGTCAAATATCATCCTCAAGGTTTTTATGCCATTATACGAATATAAAATCTTTACTTGTTCCTGAAAAATATGTATCTGTACTTCAGGATAGAACTTTGAGAAGATCTTGGTGTAAATTACGTATATCATTACATAATTTTAATGTTAACAATCTCAGAAAGAAAAATGTACAAGATAAAGAAAGTAGTTTATGCCGTTATTGTAATGAAGGCTATGTTGAGGATGAGTTTCATGTACTTCTCATTTGTAAATATTATCAGTTTCTTAGAAATAGATACCTCCCTATGATTTCAACTATGTACAAAGATGAACAACTGATGAGAAATTTGTTGAACTCCTGCAATGCAAATACAATATCATCTCTGTCAATATTCCTGAAGAAGATTTTTGAAATTAGACGTTAATATTTTATGTAAACTTATTATTACCTACACGTGACTGTACAATGTTGATACAAAAAACAAACACTACTGTACTATTGGTCATAAGGCCTAAAATATTTAATAAACTTCTGTTCTGTTCTGTTCTGTTCTGTTAGTTCAGCCAAAATGTACCTTCATAATACCATCCTAGTTCGGCAAGGGTGGAAACTGGACTTTTGAGGTCAGTTAACTCCCTTGGTTCGGGAAGATGGGATTGCCTGGCCAACTCAAGCGTTCAACGAAGCAGAACATTTAGAAACGTGAGTGGGTTCAACGCGGGTTTCAACAGTATTTACAACACGGCGTACCAGCATGGTGGTTTAACATTATTACCACTTTGATGAAAACCACGTGCATGGGTACGGTGCTGACAAACCCAGAAACATAATCAGAACGAACCGGCATGCGTTTTCACATCGGAATCTTCCGAAAACAGTCCAGTCTTGAAGAAAAGATGAGGATAATTAACATGGGACTATTGACATACCTGAAATTTCTCTACTTGGGAAAACTCCGGCTCTACACCTTGAAATAGGAGGTATGGGGCGATTGTTTTTTCTTTCATTGAGTCCTTGTAGAAATGCGTACGGAGAAACTTGGTAGAGAAAAAGACGGAGTTGTTTCCGGGAAAACGCCAACTAGCCAGCTTCGCAAAGGCGTCGAACGAATGCGAAAAGTTACGTGGTCCGTTGGAGAACGACCCAAGACCATTTCGCACCTGAAAACAAGAGCGAAAGACGTTTGAGTATATTAAAAATAAATAAATATGAATAAATTTATATAGGAACCCTTGAATATAAAGGAACCGTCAAGTCTGTTATCTTGTCCTAAAGGGGATGAGTATTGGCTGCTAGAGCTGAGAAGGGGATGAGTATTGGCTGCTAGAGCTGAGAAGGGGATGAGTATTGGCTGCTAGAGCTTAGAAGGGGGTGAATATAGCCTGCTAGAGCCGAGAAGGGGATGAGTATTGGCTGCTAGAGCTGAGAAGGGGATGAGTATTGGCTGCTAGAGCTGAGAAGGGGATGAGTATTGGCTGCTAGAGCTGAGAAGGGTGTGAATATAGCCTGCTAGAGCTGAGAAGGGGATGAGTATTGGCTGCTAGAGCTGAGAAGGGGATGAGTATTGGCTGCTAGAGCTAAGAAGGGGGTGAGTATAGCCTGCTAGAGCTGAGAAGGGGGTGAGTATAGCCTGCTAGAGCTGAGAAGGGGATGATTATAGCCTGCTAGAGCTGAGAAGGGGTGGGTATAGCCTGCTAGATCTGAGAAGGGGATGATTATAGCCTGCTAGAGCTGAGAAGGGGATGATTATAGCCTGCTAGAGCTGAGAAGGGGGTGTATATAGCCTGCTAGAGCTGAGAAGGGGATGAGTATAGCCTGCTAGAGCTGAGAATGGGGTGAGTATAGCCTGCTAGAGCTGAGAAGGGGGTGAATATAGCCTGCTAGAGCTGGGAAGGGGATGAGTATAGGCCGCTAGAGCTGAGAAGGGGATGATTATTGGCTGCTACAGCTGAGAAGGGGGTGAGTATAGCCCGCTAGAATTCAGAAGGGGATGAGTATAGCCCGCTAGAGCTGAGAAGGGGATGAGTATAGCCTGCTAGAGTTCAGAAGGGGATGAGTTTAGCCCGCTAGAGTTCAGAAGGGGATGAGTATAGCCCGCTAGAGTTCAGAAGGGGATGAGTTTAGCCCGCTAGAGTTCAGAAGGGGGTGAGTATAGCCTGTTAGAGTTCAGAAGGGGATGAGTATAGCTCGCTAGAATTCAGAAGGGGATGAGTATAGCCCGCTAGAGTTCAGAAGGGGATGAGTATAGCCCGCTAGAGTTCAGAAGCTGATGAGTATAGCCCGCTAGAGTTCAGAAGGGGATGAGTATAGCCCGCTAGAGTTCAGAAGGGGATGAGTATAGCCCGCTAGAGTTCAGAAGCTGATGAGTATAGCCTGTTAGAGTTCAGAAGGGGATGAGTATAGCCCGCTAGAGTTCAGAAGGGGATGAGTATAGCCCGCTAGAGTTCAGAAGGGGATGAGTTTAGCCCGCTAGAGTTCAGAAGGGGATGAGTTTAGCCTGCTAGAGTTCAGAAGGGGATGAGTTTAGCCCGCTAGAGTTCAGAAGCTGATGAGTATAGCCTGTTAGAGTTCAGAAGGGTTCTGAGTATAGCCCGCTAGAGTTCAGAAGGGGATGAGTATAGCCCGCTAGAGTTCAGAAGGAGATGAGTTTAGCCCGCTAGAGTTCAGAAGGGGATGAGTATAGCCTGTTAGAGTTCAGAAGGGGATGAGTATAGCCCGCTAGAGTTCAGAAGGGGATGAGTTTAGCCCGCTAGAGTTCAGAAGGGGATGAGTTTAGCCCGCTAGAGTTCAGAAGGGGATGAGTATAGCCCGCTAGAGTTCAGAAGGGGATGAGTATAGCCCGCTAGAGTTCAGAAGCTGATGAGTATAGCCTGTTAGAGTTCAGAAGGGGATGAGTATAGCCCGCTAGAGTTCAGAAGGGGATGAGTATAGCCCGCTAGGGTTCAGAAGGGGATGAGTATAGCCCGCTAGAGTTCAGAAGGGGATGAGTATAGCCCGCTAGAGTTCAGAAGGGGGTGAGTATAGCCTGTTAGAGTTCAGAAGGGGATGAGTATAGGTCGCTAGAGTTCAGAAGGGGGTGAGTATAGCCCGCTAGAGTTCAGAAGGGGATGAGTATAGCCCGCTAGAGTTCAGAAGGGGATGAGTATAGCCCGCTAGAGTTCAGAAGGGGATGAGTATAGCCCGCTAGAGTTCAGAAGGGGATGAGTATAGCCCGCTAGAGTTCAGAAGGGGGTGAGTATAGCCTGTTAGAGTTCAGAAGGGGATGAGTATAGGTCGCTAGAGTTCAGAAGGGGGTGAGTATAACCCGCTAGAGTTCAGAAGGGGGTGAGTATAGGCTGCTACAGCTCAGAAGGGGATGAGTTTAGCCCGCTAGAGTTCAGAAGGGGATGAGTATAGCCTGCTAGAGCTGAGAAGGGGATGAGTATAGCCCGCTAGAGTTCAGAAGGGGATGAGTATAGGTCGCTAGAGTTCAGAAGGGGGTGAGTATAACCCGCTAGAGTTCAGAAGGGGGTGAGTATAGGCTGCTACAGCTCAGAAGGGGATGAGAGTGGAAAGGGTGAATGTTTTATCAGTATGCTCTGAGGTCAGAAAGAAATCAATCTCGTTAAAATCAGATCTAAGTTCTCGCTATCGCTAAACAAAGATCTGAGGACATCCCATTACGGGTCACGTCAGAACGACCTTTCATCCGACCAATCAAAGCGTCTCTTACCAGATCATGAAAGTGACAGTCGGAATGAGTTTTCTAATCATGCAACCTCGAAAACGTTAACACGGTGTATTCCGAACGACAGTTACGGCCCGTACGTCTGATTCCGTCAAAATTATCGTCTACCTCTCGCTTCCGTGGGATAAACATTTGAACGGAAGCGGCGTTGCACAATACGTGAGAAGCACTGCCATACAATCTCAACCATATATTAGACATTCCGGAATCTTCGTTTGTTCAGTTTTCAAAACTTCAATCAAGAACTGTATCAACATATTTTTCAAGCGTAGTCTGAAATGAAAGTCGACAGGTTGAAACGAGTGCCGTAAAGCTCGAGAGAGCTGCTTTCTAAATGGCTGATGTCGACTTCATGTTAGTCATTTCAGTTGTCGGTCAAAGTTCGCGAAAGGTCGTTCTGACGTGACCCGTAATTGGATGTGCGGCAGCGAGAACTTAGATCTGATTTTAATGAGATCGGTAGAAATTAATGGCCGCCAAACATCGACGTATGTTTATCGCTCCTCCCCTCCTACCCTCCTCCCCTCCCTAACAACACAGTGGCAACCGCGGTTATGACAACAAAGACCCAACCTCCGGTATACAGTGCTCTGACCCGTGAAGAAACTAGGTAATGCCCCATGCGGCTGACGGAAGATAACTCATCCGTTTTCTTGAAAATGTCTCATTTAGAACATACGGAGAAATATCACCAAGCCAAGGCAATCTCGGTCTGTCGCCATGGGATAGTGTCAGTGAGGGTAAGCAATTTGCGAACGCACGCGGTGGAACGTCGTAAAGTTACCGTAGATGAAGTTTTTGGTCCAAATTCCTCAAAGCAGTCTTAGCGGTGAGAGTAAGACCATTTTAAGTCCACGTTAAAGTATGGGAGATACGATGGTCTTGGTGCTAAGATCGTTTTGTGCAAGTAAGCTCTACCGTCGTTTGGGAGATGACCGGTCTTCTTGGCTGTACTGTGTTTTATGAAACAACTTGACTTGTTATGTAAAATACCAAGGTCAAGGCAGCGGCTATAATCGTTTGCATTATCCTAGGATCAAATGGAAACATGTGACAGACATCACGACATGTGAGTGTAGGTACTCCTTGGTGTCATCGATTGGAATTTGCATCACTGCATCCAGATACTAGGTCTTCAGCAACCCATGCTTGTAAAAGGCGACTATGCTTGTCGTAAAAGGCGACTAACGGGATCGGGTGGTCAGGCTCGCTGACTTGGTTGATACATGTCATCGATCCCAATTGCTTAGATCGATTCCCATGATGTCAATCACTAGATTGTCTGGTCCAGACTCGATTATTTTACAGACCGCCGTCATATAGCTGGAATATTGCTTAGTGCAGCGTATAAAAACAGACAAACAAAAGCATTAAGAAACAAATCTTCGGCAATAAATCTTCCGCATCCAGATATACCTTCCTTCAATAAAACACATCCCAGTTATAACACTTATAACTAACATAAGTCACTTACCAGCGTTCCGCGGAGCCAGGGTGGAGCTGGATGATCAAAGGTCAAGGCCACATCATGCATTTCCCTTAGGTTAGAAGTGAAGAGAAGCTCGAACCCAAGGTCATCTGTTCCACTGCATATTATGGGCACGTGCATCACACTACAGAACGCAGACAGGATCTGATACATCAACATGGCTGGTGGTGGTTGTTGTACACAGGTGTCCGTATAACACAGATTGTTTGAATGCTGTGAAAAACACATATAATATAGTTTCAGACGTCACTGTTGTCCGTATACGACTCCGTCGACAATCCTGTGTTGTACACGGTTGACGGCCGGTTGTGTCAGTGGCTTGTTCCACTGGTGGTCAGATATGCAATGAAGATCCATCGGCAGCGCAGCCTATATAGCACCGCGAGGGGCTGTGATGCGGTGGATGATCTATGGTCCGTTTCAGATAACTCTGCATCAATGGGCCTCACTTCCGAGTTGCTGCAGTGGAATTGTTGTGCAGGGAATCCAGAGATTCCGTTGTAGACTCAATAAAGACAATATTATTTAATAGACGACCCATGTACCTGGATCTATCTATCTATCTATCTTCTATCACAAAGTTTCGTTTTTTACACCTATCTTGAACCTAAGATCTTGGGTTCGAGTTCCCAAGTCGCTGTGTTTGTCTGCACCATACAAGTACACGAGATTTTCACCAAGTGGTCAACGTTTATGTGTCCGTGGGGTGTGTGTGTGTGTGTGTGTGTGCGGTGTGTATGTGTGTGTGTTTGTGTGGTGTGTGCGGTGTGTGTGTGTGTTTGTGTGTGGTGCGTGCATATGTGTGTGTGTGTGTGTGTGTGTGCATGTGTGTGTGAGCTTGTGTGCGTGCGTGGTGCGTGCATATGTGTGTGAGCGTGTGTTTGTGTTTGTGGTTTGTATGTTTGTTTGTGTGCGTGTTTGTGTGTGTGTGTGTGTGTGTTTGTTTGTGTGCGTGTGTTTGTCTGTCTCTATGTGTGTGTGTGTGTGTGTGTGTGTGTGTGTGTGTGTGTGTGTGTGTGTGTGTGTGTGTGTGTGTGTGTGTGTGTGTGTGTACCCGAGTTTTTCACCAAGTGGTCAAAGTTTGTGTGTGTGTGTGGTGTGTGTGTGTGCGTGTGTGCGTGCATATGTGTGTGAGCGTTTGTTTGTTTGTGTGTGTGGTGTGTATGTTTGTTTGTGTGTGTGTTTGTGTGTGATGTGTGTTTGTGTGTCTGACTGTGTTTGTGTGTGTGATGTGTGATGTGTGTGTGTGTTTGCGTGCGTGCGTGCGTGCGTGCGTGTATGTGTGTGTGTTTGTGTGTGTGGTTGGAGTTCCAAAGTCACTGTTTGTCTGTACCATACAAGTACCCGAGTTTTTTCACCAAGTGGTCAACGTTTGTGTGTGTGTGTGTGATGTGTGTTTGTTTGTGTGTACCTGTCTGTCTGTGTGTGAGTGCGTTCAATACCGTTAAATGCGGCGTAAAACACAAGTCACCCGCTACTTCGAAACAGATGATCTTGAGTTACTTAACGAATAGAGATATGACAAAAGCACTTTTTACACACATCGCTAATACCACTGTACGGGGGGTACTTCCCCAAGTGTCTGTTAACTATGAGTGACATCGTATTCTATCTAAGAGTGTGTGTATAAATAATTGCCATCCTTTGTCATTTTGAACAGACTATGCCAAATATCATAAACTTTAAGGGCGTTTTATCATTGAATCAATAATATTCTTAATGTATCGTCACTCGTCACTCGTCACTCGTCACCTCATTACGATGACGCTATAACACCGGGGAAATACATGGTGTTAGGTTGGGTAAGGCAAGAATTTCCGGAAACTGCCGTTGTGGAAGGAATGTTTGCTAGGCAACGCAAGGACTTGTAATCAGAGTTAGCTGTCGATGTAACATTGCGCCGTGAATAGCATCTGTCTCGCGCGTCAACGTTAGAACCGTGGTCACTCTAGCGGTGAGGTGAACTGGTGTTCAACGTCGCGTTTAGGAGTATTGCACTTCAATAACGATGCACGTGTGTGTCTGTGTGAGGGAGAGGTGGGTAGGGAGGGGAGGGAAAGGTGCGTTGAAGTGGGGTTCAACGCCGTGTTCAAGATCAATGCACTTATATAGCACTTGAGCGCACTTATTGCATATATAACCCCATGGTACCTGATATGGTTAATTGCCTCTAGCAGTTGGCGACCTACATCCCGATTTTAAACTGTAATAGCCTTACCCGCTTACTTCTCAAATACTGGTTTTATAAACAATTTTTTTATGTTCTAGTTCTCATACTGACAGCCGTCGAAATATTTTTACATCCTATTAGTATATAACTTGTGCTAGTCACGATATGGCTGAAATATTGCCGATGTGACTTAGATCTTCACTCATTTACTCACTCATTTGGGGGATAAAGAGAGTAGAAACATTTAACATTTAAACTAAGCTGCTATATCAAACTTAATGCCGCTCTGGTAATGCTTGCTAATGTACCTCGTCAATGCCAAATAATTACACTGACACGTAATTGCACTAATGTGTACGTGATAAACAACAGGTGCTCAAAATGATGTCATTAATAGACCATGGTAAAAAACCATGGTGTGTTTCACGGGATATTATGCTTTTCCTACATCAAAGAACACCTGCTTCTGTCAAGTTAAGTTAACTGTGCAATTATTAGGGTGTTTTTTTGTATATGTGTCGTTTGTTTAGACATGTGTATAGTACTGACGTCGCATTCATTGACATTGACACCCAAACAAAGATGTCGTGATCTGAGAACAGATTTTATTACGACACGACAGGGGTTAGCCTGCCATCTATGATATTTTGTAGTGAGTGGAGTTGTAACAAATTACACATTTAACCATGTGTAAGTTTAAGATTGAATATTATAGGTTATGAATTGGATTTATAGGTTAACATCAATTCTTGATTACATGACACTTTTTTATGGACAACAAAGTCTTTATTCTTTATAACGACGTTTTAGGGAATGTTCTTCCCCCTCTATCAGAGGACTACCGTGATGATGGAGCGAGAAGTAGCTATGAGATGCTACAAAGAATAAAAAAGTTGTCATCCATAAAAAGTGTCATGTATCCATATTCTTCTAAACTTCTAAACTTCTAAACGCCTATCAAAGACTTCATATCAATTCGTGTTGTCAAAAGTAAAAGCTTAAACACTATTAAAATGTTAATGACAATCTACTAAACGCAATTGGATGCTCGCATCTTCAGCAGCATTCTGTAATATTATAAGCTTACTTCCCGTGCCTGTAAATTAGGCCACTAGAAACAGTGTTATAATGTAAGGTGAAGTCCTGTCCAGATACAATGCTGTTCCGCAGTTAAGCCTAAGTGAAGCGGGGAGAGAGCATTTCCTTGTTGCTCACCTAATCTTGCCGCTACGGGGAAACTTGTAAGGCGTGACGAGTACAGTATGCGCAGACAAACATTGCACAATGTGACAACGGGGCTACACACATTCCTCGCCAGGATACAACGGTTGTAATATTTGAACTTATCTGATGTTACTACTTCCGTGTAAATACAGGAGTGTGGTGAAGTGTGGTGAAGTATGGTTTAACCTTGCGTCCAAGATAATTGCACTTTTTTTACAAGTCCGGACTTATAGCAGCATTTCTAGCCCCAGCCCACTGAGATACCATGCCGGTGTTTAATATGAATAGCCCAGTGGCACTTAGACACGGTATTGTAACTCAGAACCGACTAGTTCTTGTTTTAGCCACTTAATGCCGAGCTCCAGAAAGGGTGAGAACAAGTACCATCTTTTACTAGTATGTTTTTTCTAATGAAGCGGCCGGGAATCGAACCACCGACCATTCACTCTCTGAGCAGACGCTCTATTTACATGACCACAGAGGAGGTTGTAAATATAGGTTAGGAAGGGTACTGAGTGAGTGAGTGAGTGAGTATGGTTTTACGCCGCTTTTAGCAATATTCCAGCAATATCACGGCGGGGGACACCAGAAATGGGCTTCACACATTGTACCCATGTCGGGAATCGAACCCAGGTCTTCGGCGTGACGAGCCAACGATTTAACCACTAGGCTACCCGACCGCCCCTGGAAGGGTACTGAAAACCCTTCGGACTTCTTATTGCAAGTTAACTAGGTCTCGTGAGTGAATGAGTGGGTATGGTTTTACGCCGCTTTTAGCAATATTCCAGGAATATCAACGGGCTTTACACATCGTACCCATGTCGGGAATCGAACCCGGGTCTTCGGCGTGACGAGCGCAGTGATAAGGAACCGATTCGCGGGGGTGAGGGTGGGGGTATTTATCTTCTGGTTTTACCAATAAACAAACAATTGCAGCTTGAACACGCTGCATGTCAGAAACTGCATAGTTGGAAATGAAATCTGAAGTGTTCGGCTCTTCATTTCAAAGAAAATTGCATATTTTAAGAAAGTGCCCCAAAATATGTTCCGCTCAGAACAGATATCCAAGGCCCCCTCCTAGACAAACATCTTGTCTCTGAAATGAACATATTTTACAGAAAAAAACAGTTGCTAAATTACAGTTACAAAATATAATGAAAAGGAGCCCAGATACTTTCTTCATTTGTATTGTAGTAATCTAGACTTGCCAAACATTATAGACTTGTATAGTTGTATTGGATATGTTTGTTTCAGGGTCTGTATGACAGACTAGCGCCTTCCTCGAGCGTTCAGTGGTCGGCCTCTGGAGGAATGCGTCCTCCTGTCCATGCAGATGGCGTGGTATTGCAGGAGTAACATTGTGTCGGGAGAAGGGCTTGTCACAACGTGTTAACATCGCTATGGTATCTGGGTCTAATTGCAATCATGCTATTGCCTCCGGCATAACGCTCAGACGTCGTGCAGTGAAAGGATAATCACTTGAAGCAAACCCTGGTCCTCAGTACAGGACACACGTTAACGTTTATGTATGTCTTTAATAAATCAGATTGCGGAACTTGATTTCCTCACCTGTACACAAACAGAACACTGTAATCATTTAAATTAATTTAAAATTTAAGAAAACCAATGATCGCATATTCGGCAATTTGTCCTAAATTAAATGTGAAGTTACATGGAGAGGATGAGCCAGTGCTTCATTATTACGCCAGCGGAGGGAAATCGATTATTGAACCAGTGCAAGAAATGAGGAAGTGTGACTTACATCTCAAACAGTGAGTGAGTGAGTTGTGTTTAACGCCGCTTTGAACAGAATTCAAGCTATATCAAGGTGTGTCAGCTTAATGTTGGAGGAAAGCCCGAAGTGATGCAGGTCTCAAACGTTTACCACTTTGGTGAAACCCACGAGCACGGGTATGGTGCTAACAAACCTAGAAACATAATCGGGGCGAACTGGGATTCAAACCCACAATCACAAGTTTC